TGACAAGGTTCATAAGTGCTTTCATGTAAACGCAGCATGTCACTCTTTGAGTCGACAGCTGACGCCGACCGTAAGACTGACCCGATTGAAGCCATTTCTCAGAGGTTATCGAAGCTGGAGCTCGCTATCTCGAGCATTAATCGCTATCGTGGTAGAAGTCCTAGACGCTCCTCTCGAAGTAGACGTAGTCTCGCCAGGAGTTCGACATGTCATTTCTGTTGGTACCATCACCGTTTTGGCGATGATGCAAGGAATTGTCGACCTGGTTGTAAGCTCCCGAAGGCATTCTACAAACTGCAGCAGGGAAACCACGCCAGACAGTGATGGCGACAGTTGCGTCTGGCCAATCTTATAGTCGCCTACTTTACGTCTACGATTCCTCAACCAATTCGTACTTCTTGGTTGACACCGGTGCAGAGATCAGCGTTATTTCTCGTGATGCAGAAAAACGCAACCTGCTTCCAACCGGGCTGACATTGCAGGCGGTTAACAATACCAAGATCCATACATACGGCCAGAAAATGTTGACTCTCAACCTTGGTCTCCGTCGAAGTTTTCCCTTTTGTTTTTCTCATCGTTGACGTCCAACGCCCCATCCTTGGTGTTGATTTCCTTACCAACTTCGGCCTGATTGTGGGCCTGCGTAACCGTAAACTGCGCGATAGTTTGACATCATTGTCCATCCTAGGTAAAGTCACTTCGATCGGTCTTCGCTTGACAGTGCCCGCCGACAATGTGTTTACTGAACTACTGTTGCAGTTTCGCGCTCTTTATTAATCGTCTAATGACTTTCCTGAGCCTAAGACTTCCGGGAGCGTTCAAACAGAGTTCGGGTCACGTTCCGGATGCGTGCATATAATCGAAACTGTTCGACTTGGGACAAGTTCACGTGGGACTGTAACGATAATATTGTCCTGTGTGTTCTTTGTTCAGTGCGTCCTCGAATCAGGTGTTGACGAATGGTCTTGAAATGTAGATTGATCTAAAACAAAGAGCGCAACACAGCCTGATCACGTGTTCTGCATTAGCAGTACATGCTGGGCCGGTTACTTAAAGTAAGGAAGAGGAAACAGTAAAATCAGAAGACAAGAAATGGAACGTAGGTACATACTTATACTACTAAGATACTTAAGGAATTAAAAGCGGAACAGCTGTAGATGAGTCAGGAGAAAGGAAAGGTTTGGTGTTGTCAGCCAAGGGCATCGAGCTGATGCGCAAAACCTTTAATCGTTAGTTCCCTAACCACCTGATCTGGAAGCAAGTTCCAGCGCTCTATAACGGTGCGCCAAACGAGTTCCCTACCTGATCCGATCAGACCGCGGTCTGTGCAGCATAAACGGGCGACTGCGGAGACTCACCATGCGGGACCAACTAGCCAAGACAAGTCCGGGGCGATCTTTCCCATCAAAATACGGTAGGCGTGGATAAAGTCCCCTCCAATGCTATGGTGATGTATTGAGTACATCTCCTAACCAGGCAAGCGTTCGGGGTACGTCCTTTTCCGTAGACGCCTTGTAGCCAATAGTAAAACCCTCTCCAAGTCCATCTTGTCTCGGACAAGATATGTTGGACAAGCTTGGATACAATATTCCAAGTGTGGTCGCGCGAATGTCGAGAATTACTTTACTAACCTATCTGCTATTAAGACTCCGAAGGAGCGACGGATGAACCACATCGTACGGAGCCCTCCTACAAGCAGCCTTCTAACTATCGCCAGAATACCAACAGGGAGTTCACAACCGCCGATAACCTACCGTGTGGGGGACTGGCATATACTATTCGGAGATTAGAACCTTTGACGTGATATATGGGCATTCTCCACAAGGCAGACCATTCCCAGAGCTTACCCAAGGCATTCCGAATCGCCTCAAGACGCACAGATACATCCACAATATTCCAGGTCCTCAACACACACACACACTATACACGTTAGCTAGAGGTGGGAAACCCAGCTACTGTGCCGCAATACCTAAAGGAAAAAAAGAATAAAATGCAACAGGTGCAAACCAGCTGAGCTACCGGTAACGGATGGGCATCGTTCCGGTAACCTACCAGCCGGCTACTATGCAGCAGAAAACTATAATTTACTACGCAAAATTATAAAATGCTAACTAATGGGATCATGGTTGGAGGGGGATGCTAAGTGGGCTGGGGTGGGACAAAGAAACTCACAGCACGAACGTCACTGAGGTCGGCTCCTAGCCATATCAACAAGTGTATCCAGCCAAACGTGTTCATCGTCTTTCGGACTCCAACCAGAGAGCCGAGACGCTCCAACTGAGGCCAGCTTTGAAGTGAGGGCCTTCATTCCTCCGGACCAAGTCATCGCTTGGCCACCTCAGGTCGTCAGCAAACGTTGTTGACGACACACCAAGCTCACTCGGCAAGTCATTTACATTAATCGCGAATAGCAATGACCATAATACCGAGCTCTGTAAAACACCACTAAGAACAGCTTGCTTAAGCCAAAGACTACGCTCCACGCGTACACACTGTTCCTTCTACTCCAACAAAGAAGACACCCATTTAAGGGCGCGACGAGAGATCCCGTAAGACTTCAACTTCAGCGTGAGTCTAAGATGAGGGACATTGCCAATAGCTTTCGAAAAGTACAGCGTGGCCACTGTCTACCGTTTCGGCCCATTTTTCACGGGCCACAAGTAGATTAGCTTGACACGAAAATCCCTTGCGGAATCCGTGTTGCAGGGTACTGAAAAGACTAAATTTGTTCAGGTGATTCCCCACGGAGTTCTGTACCAACTTTTCAATTGACTTGACTATCACGCCTGTCAAACTGACAGGCCGGTAGTTCCCGGGCAAAGTACTGTCACCCGATTGATATTGACCTCCCTCCATTCCTAAGATAAGACGCAGCCATCAAGAGCTTTTGAGAACACGCATGTGAGAGGGCAACTTAGTTCAGCGGCTAGTTCATACAACAGCTTCGGATGAATTGGATCATGACCGGAAGCTTTAGATGGGTTTCTGCCTTGAAGTATCTCGAGGAACTGAGTCAGCCAAGCAAGAATCCTCCGGAACGTCTGAGATCATTTCCACCTGTGGTATAGTAGTCTCACGAACGAAGGCCCCAAGTACACTATTTGCTAAGTATATAAGCCTTGTCATAGTCGGTGTGCGCATAAATCCCGTCTGCTCGCAGTAATGCTGGTATAGACAGATTTACACCGCTGCGCCTCTTTACGTAAGCAAAAACTTGGGATTAGCTGCGGCCGAGTTAGTTAAGACCTGCCTGCATTAAAGACGAGCTGTCCTGAGGTGCAGCTTACATTTATTTCTAACACCTCGATAACCGCTGTAGATGCTGGCTGATCGAGCTGCTGGGTAGGTTCACTAGCCCATCGCGATGAGACTGGACCTAAATGTGGTGCGATGGTTTGTGTGCCTCAGTGATCCATTGAGCTATGCTGGGTGATGCTTTTTGTACCTTCAGAGTCCCTCATACCAGATTTATCAATGACTAGAGGCCAGACAAACTCAGTTTCATGGCCCTCCAGCTTGGGGGTTGAAATGGGGGTGCCTCTTCATAAAATGGGCTTCGTGTAGTCTATTGCTAAAACCCCACTACCTTGCGGTTAGGTTTTTGAACCAAAGGCTTTGGTTGAGAACCCTAATCGTTCTCCTTCTCCTGCGCTTTTTCATCCTAAGCGTCCACTTCAACTTCACCTTTATCCCCCCATTTCCAATTCCCTAATTCTTGGCCCTCCGCACCTTCCTTCAGTAGTCGCTCGTCGGTTGGTGCATCCTGACTGCCTGGCTGGGGTCCTAAGGACGGTGCACACGTTTGGTTACGCACACTTCTCGATATAGCAAAGAGCCGGCCCCAATGGCGTTTGTGTCCTGAGTTCCCTTGTGCATCCCCTCTTTTAAATTCCCCATCTACTTCCGATCTCATACGAATTACATAATAGAATATTTATCATCATATTACCTTTATATCAGAACAAGAGTAAGCGAACAAGCTCGTTTCCGGTGGATCTCATCAGGCTGGTACACCACAACTAATAAGAATAAAATGAGTTAAAACCTCAGACGGGAGCAAAGTTCGAAGGGTAAAATTAAAAGGTCTAGGTCATCTAACTGACAAGGTCAAGTGCTCGGTTCACAAACGGTCAATGACATGTCAGTTGCATGTTTCTCAGCAGGGGTTACTGTGATAGGGGGCCAGGGAAGAGAGAGAATCTGAACGAATTGTTTTTGTGCACGTAGGTCTGCGTTCTGGAGACGTATGGCGATCGCGTCGGTTGTTGCCAATAGGCGACATCTTACCGCACGTGTGTAGCATCCAGATACGGAGTAAATTGGCTGAAAACTTTGGTGCCTATCGATCCGGTGGTTAAAATCAACTAGATGTGCCAACACGGCGCTTGTCACTGATTAGTTCCAATTGTACATAGCCAACTCGGGCAATGCTCACGGATTCTCTCAGACAGTCTCCCGGTTGTTCTTCCGATATAACTTGCTCGACATGAACAAGTAAGGGAGCATACACAGAAATAAGTACTTGACCGAGGAAGTCTGTCCTTGGGTTGAAGCCTTACGATTGGTGTTGAAGTAAATCTTAGTCGTAGGCTTTCCGCATAGTACGTAAGGTATATGGCGTCGGATAGCCTTCTAGACGTTGCCTGTGCTATTCCATCCCCTTTGAACGACAACGACAGATAAACCAATTTCTTTTCAACCGAATCGGATTTAGCCCTCGATTCTCGGCACTCCATATTTCTCTGAACAAACTTTCCGGGTTAACCGTTTCTCTCAAAAGGGCCAGCTAAGAAATTCAGCTTATCCGAAAGCGTGTCCTCACTACATATCCTTCTTGCCCTTTCGCTTAAACATCTAATCAACTTCCGCTTCTGACTTAGTGGGACAAAACTGGCAAAATGTATGTATTGTCTATTCCACGTGGCTTTTCTGTGCATCCTGCGTTGCATCGACCCATCTGATCTTCTGCTAACTTGGACGACTAGGAAAGACATCATACCATGCCGTTCAGATTCCAAGGTAAACTTAGCGTTGTCGTGCGCTGAGTTAAAAAGGGATAGAATTTGCTCTGTGCAGCATTGACTGTCTGTCAGAAAATATATCATCCACATATCGGCCGTAATAGGGTAATACGCTAATGACTCCGCTCAGGTAGTTGTTTTCTAATTTGCTCATGAATACATCTGCCAGCAGCGGTCCTAGCGGTGAGCCCATCGCTACTCCGTCTTTTTGTCTGTATATTACCCCATTAAACTGAAATTGTATGTTGCTAGTACACAGCATGAGTAGCTGTTTCAACCGATTGTTCGACAGCTCGACGTTTAACTGATGTGCTCGAATGGTGTCGCATAAATTGTCTATTGTCTCTTTTAAAGGAACATTCGTGAAGAGCGACACAGTCTAACGAAAACTTCTTTCTTCCGTTTAGGTTGGTGTTTTATACTGTCTAAAAAGCTGAATGTATCACGGAGACATTACATGGATAAAACTTTTCTCACTGGTTCTAAAAGCTTGGCTAGCCACTTGGCTGTTGCGTTGTAAGTCATCATCATCATCAACAGCAGTGCATCAGCCAGTTGAACTGATGCTTCGCTGCCATACAACCATGTGGACCTATGAAATAAAGAATAAGCAGAGGGAGAGAAGGGGGACTTACCTGAAAACCTTAATGCACTAAGCAAACATTCAGGGTCAAGGCGCCTACACCTTGTGAAGACAACATACAGTCACAAACAGCTGGCTATCGTGCAAAGATAAGGCGGCATCGGCGAGACAGCTTCCTTGCGGCTTTCACTACCACGCGTCATAATCAGTCATTACCCCGCAGATAACTCAGCACCAAACATACTTTAAACAGGCAATCCGACTAGGAGACGGCAGCAGACGCACCACTGGTGTCTACTGCGAACCATGTCCTGTAAAGTCTCGAGCCAAGCACAAGGCGAGTCACGTGGACTCCAGCCCGGAAGGCGAGACGGACCAACGGCACCCAATTTCGTCGTCAGTGACTTCATTTGCCGCTGCCAAGTCAACTTCTGTCCACCTCGAGCCTTGCGCCATCCTACACCTGGCAGACTAAACAAGGCCCTCCTAGGTAAACGGTGACCAGGCATACGTAGCACGTGCCCGAGCCAACGCAACTCATTCAATGCTATCTGTTGTTCTAGGGAGCTAGCATGATTAGCACCACCTAGTACTCGCCTACGCACATCATCGTTGGGGATACGCTGGTGCCATCCGACACCAGCAATGCTGCGCAGACAACGATGATCAAAGACTTGAAGGCGCCTCAGATCTTCAGACCGAAGGGGCCAAGTCTCACTACCATAGAGCAGAACGGCCCTCACTGTGGCCTTGTATGCACGGCCTTTCAGACGGAGGGAAACTCCCTTCTGTCGCCAAGGATGCCGCAGGTTCAAGAAGGTAGCTCTGGCTTTTGCAATGCGTGAGCTGACGTCAGTTTCTATGCGCCCATCATTGCTGATGCAGCTGCCAAGATAAGTGAAATGATCAACCACCTCGAGTTCCTCGTTAGCAAGCGTCAAGGTGTCATCAAGTGGCTGGTGGTCCTGCAGCAACACTTTGTACTTTGAAGGTGCGAAGAGCATACCAAATAATGGGACCACTCTGGACAGGCTATTCAGGGTTGATTGTGCCGCCCCAACATTGTCGAAAAGCAAGACGATATCGTCCGCATAATCTAGATCAACTAACCTTTCACCAGGCAGCACTTCAACGCCTACATCGTGAGATTCCGCAAGGGAACACTCCATGATAGAATCCACGACGAAATTGAACAAAAATGGGGAAATCGGACAACCCTGACGAACGCCACTTGTAGTCGGAAAGCTATCCGATAGAACACCGTAGACCCTGACGCGGCCTGTAGTGTTCGAGTATAGAGCACGAAGGATGTTCACATATTTCGTGGGAACACCTTTTCGCGCAAGTATTTCGAACAGAATCGATCGATCAACTGAATCGAACGCACCCTTGAAATCGAGTAACACAGCTATTGTCGGTCTGCGGTATGCGTGGCGCTGCTCTAGCACCTGCCGCAAAGTGAATATATGGTCTATACAGCCACGCCCTGGGTGAAAACCTGCCTGCTCTTCCCTAATCCGAGATTCCCGTTCCGCAGTGAGGCGACGAACGATAATCGAGGCCAATAACTTTGTCACAACTGGTGTTAGGCTAATACCCCTGTGGTTCGCACAATCTGTGCGACTGCCCTTTTTGTATATTGCCACTATAATCGATTCGCTCCAATTAGCCGGCACAGATAGATACGTTCGAATAAGGAGGTCAGTGCTTTGCAGAGGACCTCACCTCCATCCTTAAATAGTGCAGGTGGGATGGAATCCGGGCCAGCTGCACGAAAACGATTGAGGGCTGTGATCGCGTTTCGGACCCCGGCCTCCGACGGAGGCTCTAAACTAACCGTCCATGGCACGTCCTGCATCACCTGAGTAGGAAGAAGTCCGGGAGCAGGGGGCCAGCTGAACTGATCTTGAAAGTGTTCCGCCCAACGAGCCATACGGCGCTCCTTATTGTGTATCAGCGCACCCGCGCTGTCTCTGATTGTCTCTCTGACGCCTGGTTTTCTGGGACCAGTGGTGCGGATTAGCTGGAAGAGTTTGCGGTAATTGCCTACTGTTCCTGCCTCCTCCATTTTTTGAGCCCTACTTGTCCACCAGGCTTCCTTTTCAGCACGTAGGCTCTGCTTTAGTTCACGTCTGATAGCCCGTCTGGTCACATTGTGTTCAGAGCCAGCCGGGAGGCGTCTTCTAGATTCCAACAGGTTCACGGACCTCTCGGATATCCAGTGACTGGTGCGATGACGATGGATAGTGCCACAAGCAGATGCTCCTGCGTCGTGCATGGCGGCCGAGATCCTATTCCACTGAAGCTCAGTGTCATTAGGACAGGACAGCTAGAGTTCGGTATGCAGTGTGTCTTGATATACTTGCCTGACCGAGGAATGAAACAATTTCTCCGTTGCCAATCGGAGGAGACGCTTTGTGCGCCTTCCGGTAAAGTTCATGGAGAAACGACAGCGTACCAAGGCATGATCAGAGTCGACGCAGGTACTCCAGTACGAGCGGTAATCCAGAATGGAACCGTGCCATCTGTAACTTATGGCTATGTGGTCAATTTGGGTCCATCGCTGGCCAGCTACAGGAGGACGCCAAGTGGCACTTCGGCGTCCACTGTGTCTAAAAGCAGTGTTACTAAGAAACAACTGGTGCTCCGCACACAGTTGCAGCAGACGCTCGCCGTTGTCAGTCCGTTCGGAGTTAAGTCCACAATTACCACCCAGCTGAGCTTCAGAAGAGCTCAGACGCCCTACTTGTGCGTTCATATCCCCTGCAAGTACTATTATATCTGAACTAGTAGCACTGCGTAGTAGGGCGTTCAGTTCGTGATAGAAAGTGTCCGTGACAGCATTAGAACTGCAGTCGGTGGGAGCATAAGCGGAAATCACGAACAAACATCGTTTTGTACTACTTCGCGAATTAACCTTAGCTGATGTCGTCAAACGGGCTGCACATAAACGGCTGTTCACCGGAATCCAATCAACCAACGATGACTCAGCCTTGGAGCTTAGAATGATACCTACACCAGCTTGACCCGTGAGTGCTGCATCGGCGTCTCCGGATGCGTGCAACCAATAACGAGAGGATAAGCCGGGTGCAGTCAATTCCATAACCCCGTTAGGGTCATTGATCCTAGTTTCGGACACACAACACACATCAATACCCAGTGTGTCCAAGGTGCGTGCGAGTGCAGCCTGTTGACCTGTTTGTCTTAGAGTGTGGATGCTGAAAGTCGCCATGGAAACTGGACAGCGTGGCCTTATAAGGCAATCAATTAGATTGCCTTGGATCTGATTTCGTCGTTCCCATCAATTTTATCTGCTTATCTATGTTACTAAATATGGACCCTATTTATTGCGTGTTTTGTTCTGCCTGTATTGCGTAGCGACTGACGAGAGTAATCGAATTGTTAACATATCGCAACCTGTCTTCTTACTGCTTTAATGAAGTGTTTGAAGGGGAATCAGTGTTTTATGAAGTCTAGTTATTTGCGCGCTATTCTTTTAAACCTTTTTCCGGACCTAACTTTGGAGGGTAAATCTCAAACAGTCAGCATTCTCACCAAATTGACTTGCGGCTAAGGATATACAAATGAAAATACAGTTGGTAGTATTTTACACATCGTACGAGAAAGTATCTACGTCACTACACTACTGACCTTTATGATGCTGCTATTCTGTCGCTTATTTTGCAGCAGTATGCAAGCTAGAATACTACAGCTACTGCAAGAACGTTACTCTGTGTCTAGGGTAACATGTAATCTCCACTTATCTCGTTAGGCATCATAATTCCTCTGTGATTCAGTGTTTGTCTATTGCGTATCGAAAAGTGATCAATAATATGTAATGGAGCCACTATGGAACTGCGGTTGCCGCTTACGGTCTTGCAAGGTAGCTGGTTCGACGAGGTCCGTTGATTACTAAGAATTCGCCCAGTCACCATTATCCTTTGGTGCGCACAGTATTACAACTTCTCGCTTTGTATCCGAATTCTTCGCAAGTTCTTGATGGCAAAGTGCATTGCTGCGATCACTTGCCATATATTCCGGTGTTCTATTGAGACGTCGTTTCCCTTGTGAATGAACAGTAGCCACTGTGAGATCAATGTACTAAGAATGGAATCGACAAGATTCCTTGAACTATCTGCCGATTTGCTTATTGTCGATAAATTGTAAGCTGATGGAAATAATTTTTGATCGGGTCCTGCGTCTTCACCTTGAGATGTTTAAGTCATCTCCCATGCTCAGTATGGCTTTCGGAGAGCACACCATTTTATCGCCAATCTGCTTGTTGTTGATAATAAATAGGTCAATTTAGTGGGTGACAGCAATCACCTAATTGCTGCTGATATCAGGAAAGCTTCTGATGGGGTTCAACATGAACGAGATTTGGGTATCGCCGGCCTTCCTCTCCTGGATCGCAGTTGTCCTAAATGGACATAGCATGCGAATGGCCAATGAGGTCCAGCTGGGTCTGTTCTCATGACCAGTGGTGTTCCACAAGGCTCCATCCTTGGTTCTGTACTTGCCAGAATTTTCGTCAATCACTTTCCAGAGGTACTTTAAGTTAACTCCTTCATCTACGCTGGTGATCTCAAACTATAGTCAAGGGCGAGCGATTTCTTCATCTGTATGAGGATGTTCGCTTATTTCTTGCGAGCACTAACATCCGACAAAACACCCGCAGATGAATAACCTAACGTCCACCAGCCTTGGATGCAAATCGACCACATTGCGCTCAGTTACCGCTGGAGATGCTGCGTCTAAACTTGTCGCTCAATTTGGGGCACGTGTGGACACTGACCATGCACTTGTATGTGCTGGTCTGCAGGTGCGCTTTGGCGGACGTCCAGGACGACCCCGTGAGCGCATAGACACCAGCCAACTGTCGAAGGCAGATGTTCTGAAGGTATCGATTACGCTGGCATGGAGTTGAGTAAGTGTTCACTGAATACAGCTAAAAGTCACCGTAGACCTTATTAGCTACAGGGAAACCCGGATGTGAGGAATTTGTTAGCTAACCTGGACATTGGGCCTCTACCCATTCTCTTGAAGCGAACGCAAAGACGTCAGGGCAATGCTCTGTGCTACCCTGGAGAGACCGCAGAATCCTTATGGCTTCATCGTGCGTCAACGACGAAAGCGATCGATGCTCTTGGTAACGTCTGAAGTTGTTCCGCCTGATACGGGAATCGGGCAGCTGGAAATCTGGTGCTAGTGAAACCATATGTGGCGAGAGCGGACAGTCTAGCCACAAATAGTCAAAACGCTTGGAACGTTGGCTGAGCATTTTGTAATGCAATTTAATCGGCAGGAATTGTCAGCGACCGCCCTGCTCCCTGGGCTGTCCCTTTGAATCCACACTCTCGCTCAGAAGCCGAACGTGAGATCGTACGGCTGAAGTCGAATAAGGCCGCGATATCATATGATCTTCCTCCAGCGCTATTCAAACTCAGGGGACCTGCTTTTGTGGGTTATTTACACACTGAGGCGAGTGTCCATCGCCTGGGAGAGCATGTAAGGAGAAAAAGATGCTTCTGCAGTAGCAATGTTTTCCCACATGCACTCCGTAGTATGCAGCATATATGGGACCCTTTTTAGTGCCACTGCGAGACGGCCGATGTGGCATGAGATTATTTGTATTAGCGTAATTCATGGTTAGCTGCTGGACTGGTCAGGGCATCCACATATGCACAGCAGAACAACTTGAGTTCTCCACCGAAACCTTCAAACAATTTATTCGCGGAATTGTGTCCTGGCTCTTAGCCAGGGTGGTCGTCACGAGGAGGTTTAGGACACGGCACAACATTTGGAGCAACGGGTCGACGATCTTACAGGATCTCGCCACCACAAACTCCAACAATCCATGGATTCTTTTGCATACGGACATCATAACTGTCCGGCGTAAGCGGTTTAATTTTAGTAGACACAATGCCAAATCAAAAGGTTCCATTCCAAACGCAGACCTTTGGACTTCAACAACCCGCGCCTCCACTAGATGTGAACAATGTTTCACAACACCAGCAATCAAAGACAACTAATTTCAATTGGACATACTTCGGATCCACACGGTAATATTGGATTTTATCGCAGCATTTCACATCATATCATTGACTTATTGTCTCGCCCAATAATCGTTATTTTCGGAAACCACATGGGCTATACCGATTCTTCCACAAAGCTGTTCAGCGATGTGGTCATCAAATGTGATACAATTTTAAAGGAAGTGGACTGAGCAACCACATATTACGGCTGTTGGACCATGGCTAGGTCAAGTGGTGTCGGCCCATTCCTACCACATAACATTGCACTTTGAGGGTTCGAGGCGCATACCGAAACGTGCGGTGCTACGCGTTAACCGGATGTATAGCGAGTCGAAGCTTGCAATGGGACAATACCCATGGAGCGTTAGCATTTACAACCTTCAATAAAGCAACACAGCAGGCTATTCACAACAAGACTGACTGTGCCGCAGCAGAACAAATGGAGGCGGAAAAACGATCGATTCACTCAGACATATAGCGTCACGACAAACGCGCTGACACACATACAAATCGAACCACATATGCGTTTGCCCGTGCGACGTGTGTTAACCCGATCGCAGTTGTCTCGGTCGTCCGCGTGATGCGCTTTCTAAGCCCCTTAGAGTATCGTTTTGGCACTACCAAAACATTATTGATAAGTAGCGGAGGGGGTTATTGTGTTTTTAAAAGTCATCGCAGCCATCACACACCAGTTTGGAAAGCGTTAGGTGGTCATTTCGTCCCATTGGGACACCAGTGACATCCGCCGAATTCTGCTGGATTTTAGCCCATGACCTTACATTTATGAGCCATGAGCTATCTGTGATGGCCGCGGACCGCCACGACTGGTATCTAACTGTATTACAGAGAGGCTCATCCTCTATTCTCATGCAGGTTATGAACTTGCAGAGGACAGGGCTACGACTTCCTTTGCAAGCCCCGCCAACCGATGTGGCATGTAAGCTGCTAAGGGGATTACTGACTATTAGTGAGTAGTAGGGGTTGTTGTGTTTTTGAGCTTATCCATCGCTGTCGACCAATTCTTCACGGTTAGTGACTGGCTATTTTATACTCAGGACGTCAACTGTCAAATAACTGGGGGTCCTTTTTGTCTAAAGAAACCTACACTTGTCCACTCACCTCGCTGAAATGTTCTGCAAGGTTAAAAGGCTTCCAAACTCAGTGATTTCGCTACCTCGTAATTTGGTTCTCAAATTTGTGACTGCATGCGTTTACCCACATTGGCTTTACTTTTCCCCGGTAATTTTTCCTGAGCTGCTGAAAAATACCACATTGTACGGTCATTAAAACACGTTAATAACTAAAAACACGTGGATTGCCGAGAGAAATCCTCATTGAATTTATTGTTAGCAATCATGAAGGCGTTTGTATCAGTCTTTCCTTTAAAGCTCTAAGCGATCTCTTTCACTCACTACATGGTGATCTTATCAGAAACCCTACCTTTTTCCTCTACGTTCTCTAAATTAAGAGTTTTATTTTCTCGAGGGGATCTTTTGCTACGTCTCCAGTTCAGTTTCAAAGAAAACAGCTAGCGGACGAGGGTATAAGTAGTCAGAACATGTGCTAGAGCAGAGTATGCCACCAGCATATGTTGAATTCCACGGCAATTCGGTCTGAAGCTGTCGCTGGTGATCTACCGAGGGACCCTAGGCTTCACGCCGTTTTTCATAGTACCTGAAACTGCATTGTCGCACTTCTAATAAATCAAAGAAATGTTTAGCGCAAATGTTTTTGAAGTGCCTAAGCACACGGTGCATGCTTGGTGTCACTGAAGCGGGGACAGCCGTTTTATGCGGATGACAGCTGTGTGACCACATGTAAGCTGTGTTTTGTCTCTCCTATCGTTATATTCAGATAATTTTTCTTTTATAATGCCGCTTGTGTAATTTTACGCTTTCCTTACACTTTTAACTGCTGTTAATTCTTTATAGACACTTGGCCAACCCAGCTGAGAAGCCTTGGTCTCGTTCGACGTTGCACTACTACGATGCTTCTGAGCGACGCTCTGCAAAAGCCCCCAAAGTCGGGTTTTCCGCTCTTCATTTCCAGAGCGTGTTCCTTTCTCCGTATAATTTTTCACATTGGATACATACCGTTCGTAATCTATCTTGGAATTACTAACCAAGGTCACCCTTTGGAGTCCCCAATATCCTTGTGGAACGTAATTATGCCCCTGTCAATGGCACCACAGTAGACAGCTTGAAACACTATGCCTAGTCTGTAAATAGACTCGTTGGACTTACTTGTCTTTCAACTCATTATATTGGAATGCGTAAGCTTTCTCATAATTCTCACCCTACCGCATTTATCGCTTTACCACGGGCAGTTACCATACAGCTACATGGTGTGCCAGCTTCCAGCTAGGATTTTAGCACTCTTTTAAGGTCCATATTGGTCACTGCGCACGCGGACTGGCTATGATGAGTTCTCGTCTCTACTTTATGAACAACCGGATATTAGCATTACGCCGGAGCATTTACCTGCAGTAACACAGTAAGCGAAAATAAGCACAATGGCAAACGCAACGAGTTATGGTAAAACTTCGCGTGCATGTTCCTATTTGGGATTTAAACTAGACACTAATGACTCATTGGTGGAATAATTTACCCTAGTATTTCAATATTGCCTCCAAACTGGCAAAGCCTCTCGCGGTAATCTAAAGTCGACATACAAGCAGTGAAGATGCGGGAAGTTTGAAATGATTGCTCAGCTCAGGTTAGCACTGAAACCACTTACAGATCATCAACGGTCTACGTGGTGCCAGTAAACATGAATAGAACAAGAACAATTGCATTTGTACAAATATGTGTAGTCTGATTCTACAGCGTCTGTACGTTTTTATATCAACAGCAGTACATCAGCCATTTCCACTGATACCTCGCGGCCATAAAACCATAATGAACTAGCGAACAAAGAATAAGAGGGAGAGAAGGGGACAGAAATAGTTAATGTCGTATTCAAACATTCAATGTCAAGGTTCCTGCACCTTGTGTTAGCAACATATCGTCATAAACAACTGGCTATCGTGCAAAGATAAGGCGGCATCGGCGAGACAGCTTCCTTGCGGCTTTCACTACCACGCGTCATAATCGGCCATTGCCCCGTGGATAACTCCAAACACACTTGAAACTGGCAGTCCGATTAGGAGGCAGCAGCAGACGCGCCACTGGTATCGACTGCAAGCCACATCTTGTAGAGTCTCGAGCCAAGCTCAAGGCGAGTCACGTGGACTCCAGTCTGGAAGGTGAGACGGACCGACGGCACCTAGTTTGGTCGTCAGTAACTTCATTTACTGCTGCAAAGTCAACTTCTACCCACCTCGAGCCTTTCGCCACCCTACATTTAGCAGACTAAACAAGGCCCTCCTAGGTAAGCGGTGGCCTGACATACGTAGCACTTGCCCAAACCAACGCATGGGCGATGTACGTGAGGGTGAACAGGGGGTAAAGGTGGGGATAAGGGGTTGCATATGTGATGTTCCGTTCTTCGATGTTATTATCAAATTCGATCATAGGCAGCTTGCTAGAAAATTAGGCATTGGAAGTGGTCGTATTGTGCTATTAAGCGTGAAATTCGCACCCACAATTGCTCTACACATTCGCCGGACTGTTTTCGATTGTTACGTCAGATTTGAACACTGGTAGACATCGTATTATAGCCACTCTAAATTGCCAGTGCGAACGGATCAACGTTTTTGTCACTTTGGAGCGAACTCCAATTTACCGATTATCGGGCGAGATGAAAGCTTCATTTTTGTTCCACTTGGATCGTGCTCATTCCATTCCTGATATGGCGCGTTTGGTAAGGTGGAGTGTGGTATTCACAGGACAGGCCAAACTATGAAGCTGTTATGTGTGCGTTTTACTGCATTGTCTTGAAGGACTCCATTCCGAAATTGGCTAAGTGGGTTGATGATGATGGCATATATACCTAGCATTTCACCGTCATCTCTTGGCGGATACACGTGCTCATCGCCGTCGAAGTCAGGGATATGCAATAACATTCAAGAGCGGCATCGTTGCAGTTTTTCATTGCTCGGTCGCCGCACCAGTGGCCTTGGAAATAGGGCTGTAGCAGTTGCTATATGGCGAACTTGACCGATATAGCACCGAGGTAATATACGTCCCCCTATGTTTGAAGGTGTGCGGTTCCACAGTCTCCGATTCCACTGCACGGCGAGGAACCGCAGTTCTTTGGCAATCGTAGTTTTCCCGAATTTCGCGCTCATTACACCGAACCGTCATGTCATATGGCTGATAGCCAACTTATTCGGAGAAGGAATATTGTGTGAAATATCAAAAACTGGTGAGCAGATATTTAGACTATTGCAGTGGCACATTTGAGAAGTATTAGTAAAGCGCATTAGTTAAATGCGCACAATTAAATGGTTGCTGCTCGCACAGCAGGATAATATACTTCGTACACAAACTTAATCAACGCCAGTGGTTATCTGCCGGAAGAAGAATGAAAAGATGGACCTTGGCGAAGCGAGTGAAAAAGATGACATATTTGTTAAATTGAAATATATGCGCAAGAGTATGGCACAAGTCCCAGTGTTGCTTTTATGGTCCAGCAGTGAGTCGAAGTGTTGGACGTCCCGGTGAACATTCCATCGAGAGACGGCGTTACGATCAGCTGTTTCCGACTCGTTTGCCTAAACACGTGGCAGCTTCGCTGAATGGGAAACAGAGACCAGAATGGGGAGTGTTGCGCTCGACTAGATCAGCAACCGTATCACCGAGTTGATTTTTCACGTAGCAGACGGAAGGGTTGGCCTGAGATAATAAAAGGTACAGTGTCTCCGGACTCTGGTTGTTCGATACGGCTAGATGTAGAGCAGTCTGTTTGCTATTCGTCGCTACAATACGAAAAGAACGATGTCAGAAAGCAGTATCAAGGAAACAACATATTGGGTAAGAGCAAGTAAGTTCTGAGCAATAGTTAAACAGATTTTCTATTTCGGTGGCTTAATATGAATTGAAAAAGCAAGTTATTCCTTGATCAGACCTAGCGTAGATTCGTGCCGAGAGATCTGGCTCTAGATCATGTTCCAATCAAGAAACATGCTAAGAATGGCAAATTTACGCGAAAGACAGAAGCCGGACATCAGATAATGTGAAAATTGTCGGATTTGCGCTTCACCGTCACATACGTCGTGCAGTAAAAACAGGGGGGGATTTCGCAATAGTATCGTACGCAAACCTGCGTGAATGAGATGAAAGAAATGGTAACCTAGTAAAGCCATTTTACGAGGGGATTTCTTGTATCCTGTCTCTTTAGCCGAGATCATTTTCTAACGCAAGATGTGTGACGCTACTGTCGAGCATTCGAAGTTGCTCCTGAGCGCAGTTAAGAAAGCGGTTGAATCAACGGCGTAGTTCGGAATGAACTTGTTTTCACGACGGATGGGGGATTACCAGAAACACGTTATGCATGAGGTGTATGTTGATACCTTGATACGAACACTTCACTTAAGTCAAAATCAGTACTTTAGAGAGGAAATAATCTCAAAGCTAGACGGATAGAAAGCGACGGGAGGTTAGGTTAAGTAAATCGATGGTTCCTTTCGCAAGTGCATTTGAAACTGTTAGGATCGGTGAGCAGTACATGGACGAAAATCAAACTCTTTTCCAGAAATCCAACAGAATAGTCGCATTGGTCGAGAACGAATATTTTCCGATAATACTATTATTGGAAAGTTGAGAATAGAGGGCAGAGAAGATCCAAGAAAGTGCCATGTAAATGTACTGTATTTTTGGCCATTAAACTGGTGACCGAAGCCTTGTCTTCTTGATGAACTAATCAGGAATGTCAGGTTCCAATCAGAGCGACGCGGCGCGAACTTGGGGACAGCAACAATTTGGCGACGGTTGTTTCTAATTGGAGAACCTAAAAACGTCATTTCTAATGGAGCTCACCGCTAATCTTCGATGTCAAAAGAAGCAGGTTGAGGAAAGCCAGACACGGCTAATTGTGAACATCTTCCAGTGTCTAGGGTACAGGCAAGATCAAGCACTGAAAGACAGCAGTCATCCGTGGATGCCGTCGATAACAGCGTTTGTGATCTTCAATATGACTCGAATGCCGGACTCACCATCAAATCTTGATTCACAAATACAAAGACGTTTTCCGATATGCATTTGTCGACGCTGACCTCTGACGGGAGTGTAGGCCGCTTTTACGAAAGCTGAGAATCAAGGAGCACGACAAGTTCTTAAATGTTAACTTGCCAAATCGCTCCAAAGATTTCATTTTCGATTAACTTGTGCCTCCTGTTAAATGACATTTTTAGTGAACATTTTTTATTATACAGCTGCATAAAGCTCGATAAGTGCGTATCAGATGATTTCGTAAGACATGATCAGTTCAAGGCCCTGCTTTTCGTTTGTAGTCTCCAAGGGCTTGAGGATGCAAAAATATGCATGAGGTTGCTTGTCAAAATTGAACAGGACCAGTCCATAACTTCTAAACGCCAGAAGTTAATCAAATTGAAAAATCACAAATCTGATTGCGCAAGGCCATAGTCCATGTCCCGTAGAAGTGTTGGCGATGGGAAAACAATGCAATCTGCATGTTGGCAATATAGAGAATGGCACTCGGTCACATGCTGTCCGCTCAAGGAACATCTTTATCGGAAATGCGGCGAACAATGTCACGAGATGGCTAGCTGCTGTGCCTCTGCTTCCACCAACAACGTCTCTACTAAGTACCCAAATCTTTAACAAAACATGGATCCCAGCTTCATTTTGTCAATCCACTAGAGATCAAGTTCAGGTTTGGGTGTCTTGTTACGTAGCAAACCCCTTCGAACTGGCAGCTTTCGAACATTACAGGTTAATAAATTTCATCGGTTACTTTTGATGCAAGGGCCACAAAACGCAGAAGGTTCGTTACGGCGGTTGTGAACCAAGTGCCCATGCGCCTCTAAGTTAACATTGCCTCAGACATCACGGTCATATTCAAGAAAACTTTGAAAATAAGTAGATCACGCCTTTAGAAGAACAACTCGTTGCAACCAATGCAATGCAGGAGCGCTTAACTTGGTCCGTGAAATTTATAGTCCTGTAGTATTCGAAGGCTGCCAGTTCGAAGCGTTTGCTATGTAACAAGAGACCAAAAGATGCACTTACTTGGTCTCGACTGCATTGACAATACGAAACTCCATGCTGTTCCTTTGAACTGTGCACCAAATTGAACGGCACAACTGAGACCTGGACGGAGACTCCGCGGAGTAAGTATCCG